GCCATGATGAATTAAGGCCTTTAAATAAGGTTCGACACCCTAAAAATTAGGGTTTCTCCACCAGCCACCAACACGCCGTGTAATGACACAAACATGTTGTGTTGGTCCAATAAAATTTGCGGCCCAAAGGCATATCGACACGCCGTGGTGAGGCTTCACCATGCTGTGTTAAAAGACAATCATGAAGACATTTGAAACGAATTCATACCTGGAACCGAGTGTTACACAAATCTCAGTTTGGACTTGATGAATATCAATATTTGTGAATTCAATAAACTAGGAATGATTCTGCTATCGATGGAGTGTACTTCATAATACAATCTTTAGCGAATGTGAGAAATTTGACTTTTTTTATTTGTATGATATATGAATTAACGCAATATTCAATTTATGTAGTTATATTTGTTTACAATGTTTCTTTTGTTTAATAGGATGATTCTATCAATGTAACATATAAGAATATGTAGAAACTGTAGAGGAGCCCATGCCACCTATTATATCAACATTCTCACTAGATGTTAATTAAAAATTGGAATGGTGAGTTCCACTCTAAGTCTCCCATGTTTCTTAAATTCTTTTTAATTCTTATCAATTAGAATTTCTACAAGAAAATTGGCCCTCTATTAATTTACATATACTTGATATCGTGTAGGGAAGCAATTAGGAAAGTTCTTTCCAAATGTCATAACTGTAGAGCCTACATAATGGTTTCCAAGGTTCTCACTTAATAAACAAAATTGAATTGGAGGTTACACCCAAGGATTTTCAATGTCTTGAGAGGAACTTGATGCAGCTGGTGGAAAATCTTTCTTACTCGTTTAAGCTAAATGTCAAAAATCAATATGTGTGGTTATGCAGAGCTTCATGACAAAGTATTAAACATGAAAAAGGCACATGTAACACATTAGATACTTCATGTACCTTTGATGTATGCTTTGCACCTTTGAAACTATACATTCAAATCGCCTTTGGCAAAAAATATGGGATTACCTAAAGTTGTGTACCGACATCCTTCAACAAAAAATGTTTGATTAAGCAGCTAATGCATTGAGAACTATTTAGAGGCTTTGAATACAAAGTTAGGGTCATTAGGTAATGAGGTGGTTTTTGCGATTTGGAGCTTTTACAGACGTGCTAGAGTTTAGATCTAGCGAAAATAAAACACAATCGAGGTGGATGGTTTACACAAGTAAAAACTTTATTGATGAAATCAGATTTAGGTAAGATTATTTTCTCTTATCATTATGGATATTTACAACAACAAAAGGCTAACTTCCAAGGTTATTTCTATTCCATTATAGCCAGTGTTTGTGTCGTTTTTTGAACATCTACTATGCTGATTGTAATTACAAAATTATCTAACATAATGAACTTGCCAACTTTCCAACAATAACTCCCGCCCCATATGAAGCATGTGGTTCCTTCTAGTTCAATATAAAGTAACAATCTATATAAGATAAAAAAAATACAAACTAATACATATAATAACATAGGGTGATGTTCAATATAGAACCATTATTAACCATTGAACCAATGAACCAATCTTTTTTTCAACTTTTAGAGCTTATTTTTTATAAAAAAAAAACTAAAAATACAGAAATTCATAAATTAATTTTATCAATTTTCCAATGATATCAAATTCGTAAAAAAAAATTATATCAAATTCGTAAAAAAAAAATTAAATTTTTCGTCAAATTCACATTGTGAATCTGTGCAGATTCACAATGTGAATCTGAATTCATACGGTAAATTCGAAAAATATATAATTTATTTTTTAGCATTCACAATGTTAAGTTATGAATTTAGATATTTTTAATTTTTTTTTCGATAAAGAATATGGTTTTCTACTGAATTTTTCCCTAATAACATATTCAAAAAGTTATATATATATATATATATATATATATATATATATATATATATATATATATAAATTAGGTGTGAGACCCATGTATTACATGAGTTTATTTAAAAGAAAAATTAAATATTAAATTCAAAATATTTGAGAAGTTTGAATTTGTAAGAATAATGAGAAAAATATTGAATTATTAAAATTAAAGTTTTTTTCTCTTTTAAATTAAAAAAAAATAATTTAAATAAATAAACAAAGAAAACTAATAAGACTTTAATTTAGTAATTTTAAAATTAGAAGGAAAGTGTGTTAATGAAATTGATATACATTTATTATTATATTTAAATAATATATTGAGTTTAATAAAAAAAACAATAAAATAACAGGTGGAATAAAAATAAATTTAAAATAATAAAATATATGACAGAGAATATGATACGTGACAAAAAGATTTTTATTTAATAAAATATATACGAAATTCGTATATTACTATGCTTCATATAAAACGTTTATTTGACATAGAGTATGACTATGCATCTATTTCCTAATCAAATTATCTATGTATGACTATGCATCTATTTCCTAATCAAATTAGTTCAGGAAATCCATTTATTCATGGACCGACCAACCAAAATAAATGCATGCGCCAATATTGACATTCACATGCTCATGTCTCCTAAAACTAGAAAATAAAATTAAAAAATATGTCGCATATGTATATCAATTACAAAGTGTCGGATATGCATATCAATTATCATGTCAATCCATTGATCCAACTACTCCACGTATTTTTTTCGTGCTTATAAATTGCATGCAAAATATAAAAGTGACTATATAGTTTAATGGACACAACAAAACCTTTAATCTTAGTTAGACTTAAGGTTATATTAGTTTGATGGAAACCTTTCTAATATACCACTATTTATGTCTTTTGATTGTCACTTTAATTTTATTTATCATACATCAATTCTCACCGGGCCGACCATGAGGAGTTCAAAGTGTTCCCATGAACATGACTCACTACTGAAATCTAGGAGCCCAAAATTTTATTAGCCTTTCTATTAGCCTAGGTTCACTTTTTAGCCAAAATAGTAATAGGTTATGTATCAACGAAACAAAGGAAAGGAACGATACAAGCGGTAATCTAAAAGTTTTGGGGAAAAATGATGTTTAGGCTCCTTCAATATCGCAGACAGTGATTATAATTTAGACATGTGAATAAATTAATGATGTTGGTGAAATAGCGAATCATCGAGCTCCTTGGTAACAGTTTCTTTCATTCTTTGCTTAAAATCAAAAAAATCATTCATATGAAACCCTTATAACTTCGAACAATATTAGACGGATTTTAAAAGTTGTGAGTTCTTTTTTTTATACTTCTTTCTTCATAAATCTTCAATAATATTCATACGTTTTCAATAATCTTCATTAATCTTCGAAATTAAACTGGAATCAGAAGCCTTCTATTGTCGACATGAGGTGTTGAAAATCAGAATTCGGGTCATAGGGAGTAGGGACGAAAATCTAAATGTATTATACACTTCTTTTATCTATATGATACATATATAATATTGTTTAGAGGTTGTATAGTAATAATTAACGCTTCTTGTTTCTTGAATTCATAATTTTTTTATAAGAAGAAATTAAAATCCGAAGACCAGAAGGTATTCTTATAAATCCCACCTCAGAATTTTAAGTAAATCTGTTATCCCTTTTATTCATTCATTATGATTCCTATTTTCTTATATCAGAAGCAAAATCTGTCAAATCAGCTTTTAGGTTTAGAAGTTTCTGATTCTTCAGTTGTTTCAAGTTTCAAAAAGAAAAATGTAAATTACTATATATATGATTTCTGAATTTTTTTATTACAAGCAAACGAGACTGTATCTCTACTGATAATGAAATATACTAACATTTTGATTTTTTTTATGATGTGTTTATGATATTTTACAAGTTTTTTAGAGGTCAAGTGGTGTTAAAACTTTATTGCTTGAGTTTTAGAATCGATAAACCTTTTAGATAAAGTTATTTATAATTATGTAATTGAAAATTTTATTTCAATGAAAAATTTTATTTCAAAGAAAAATGTAAATTACTATAAATTTTTTTGTGTATAATTTTGAATGAATTTTGCAATACAATATGAAAAATTATAATTGTTTTGCTTAAAGTTTTATGTCTTTTAAGTTTTAGGGCCTTACTTTTGTTAAATTGCGCAGGGCCTACAAAATCACCCGACCGGCCCTAACCGTAAGAAACGAACCCTATGCAAGGGACATTTATCGATTGGATATGTCCAAATGCCGTATGTATAACTTTTCCAAATGACTTATGCAAGAGCATGGATAGTGTTTGCTTCGATAGATTCCCGACTACACAAGTCCTTGGAAATGATTAACACTTCACATTACTTATCTTTTTTTTTTTGACATTCGATTAATAAAAAAACAAAATTTTAAACTTAAAATAAACATTTTATTAATAAAAAGTTACATTAAAACCCTATATTATAAATTGAAAAACTAATAATGTAAGAAAATAAGACTTAGGGGTATTTTGTGTCAAAAACCAAAATTTAGGCATGGGATTCTTTTGAGTTGGAGTATAGCCGATACCCCTTTCTTCCTTATTTCATTCAACCCAGCAAAACCTAAAACCTTTCCCCCTTGTTGCCTTGCCTGCGCCGACCAAGAAGGACTAAAAGAACTTGGGAGGAGAAGGGAAGAACGAGATGGAAACGAAGAAAGAGAGCAGAGGGAAAAAACGGTCAAATATTGCTTCCTATTGGCTGTCTTCCTCAGTTTTCGTATCCACAGCCAAACCACCGGACATCGGGGCGTTGTTCACGCGTTTCTTGGCCTATCAAGTCGGCTTTCACACGTGAGGTGATGCTCTATACCGGATAGCCTTAAAGTAACGTCCAATCATAACATATTCATACTTACGTCTATTAGCAAGATGATTACATCAAAATCGAATAACAAGAGTACAAGTCTACTAAAGTTAATTACATAAATGCATAAATTTAGTCAAATATTATCATATGATTGGAATGATTCAATATTTTCACTAAATTAAGAGTATAAATAACAAGTTGTACTATTTATTAAAACAAAGCACCAAATTAAAGAGTCGGAAACCTTTAAATTTTGGTAGGACATATTAATTATACAAGAGTTTATTGTTGTTTGTGCCTATTTTATGTCCACGAATTCAAATCACCACAGTTTATAATACATATTACTTTCACAATATAATCAACAATAGAAAACTCCAGATCTTGAAATAATTTTGAAGTAAAAATATATAATAAATACATACACAAATTAACCCAAATGTTTGTTCAATCCACATAGAGTATTCTTGATCCCATATGCCACACAAAGATTGTAGTTAATCCCGTTTGCGGCTTTTAGCTGCGGTTCTTGCACTTCTCCATAGCTTTTGGTGCTAAAGTTACAAGTTAAATGAGATTTATTAGGTGTGTTCTTGAAGGTTAATATACATATAATTGTTTACATTATGATAAATGACAATCTAATAAAAAAAATATTACTTAATTATGTTGATTGTTTTAATGATAAAACTTTGTTCCATGTCACTTACCAAGCCCGATAGCTTCCTTCCCTTTCATTATACGCAAACGCTTGCATGAATCAACGAACATCCTGATCATGAAAAACTAAGAAAAGTTAAACATAGTTATATATATATATATATTATATATATATATATATATATATATATATATATATATATATAATATATAAGCTTATTGATGAATGTTATAATTCATTCATTTATTTATAGATAATCATAATGCAATGGGGATAATAAAAAGTAATTACTCCCAAGGAACATCACCAACGAGCATCCAATCCCCGTCTTTGTCCTCATAAGTTGGAACGTAGTCAGAGCTGTTCAAAAGATCCATTAATTTGCTCTCGTTCATGAAATCCTTCAACCCATGCGATCCACAGTTACCTAAATGATTTAATTTTGTTTTTTTAAATGAATGGAAATTCATTAATTAGTTAGTGATTAATTTTTAAATAAACATCACTTATCAGTTAAGAAATTAATATAGTAAATTTGATTGATTAATTACCAATAGTGAAGGAACTGAACATGTTGCCCAAAGCATCGGAGAGATCTTGATAGCTTTTGTACATTTTCAGATCGACTTTACGAAGGTAAGGAGCTCCATCCATACTCACCTTCACAAACGCTACCCCACCACAACCGCCGGTAAACTCTTCATGGCCGCGGAGGCTTATGTTTTTTTGGATTGATAGCATGTTTTTCCGGTAAGATCTCACCGGTGGCCAACCCACCACTTGTGCCCTACAAATAATTGAAGTTATAAGTTTTTGTTTATGTTTTCAACAATAAACTGAAGTAGAAAACTTACTTCGCTGGTGGGTTAACTGAGCAATTACCATCGCCTCCGCCTGTGGCTTCGAAAAGATTCTTCTCTTGATCATTCTTGGTTTCCTGATCATCTGATGACAGTTTCAGCTTCAAATCCATGATTGTCTCGTCGTAACTTCTCTTTCCGTTGCAATGCACCGCTGTATCTCCAACTTCACTGGTCTTATTCCCTCCAACGCCGCCGCCGCCGCCGGGCAACCCTAGCCGTAACTCCGTCTCCTCGAACGACGTCATCTCTCCTCTATCTCGCTCTCTCGTGGTTTTTGTTTGGGCTGTTGGTGAATAAATGGGCAAATCATTCTTCCTAATAATACTATATGTACTATTACTATTACTAAGTCCTATGATGCCGTTCAAAAATAAAAAGTCATGTAATAATTAAATATGTATTTTAAAGAGAGAAAAAAATGTTAAAATTAATATCTTTTTTTTTAGTTCTATATATTTTGATTATTAATATCTTTTTGTACATGTAAGGTTTCTTAATAAAAAAAACTATACCATTTTAGTTTTTATTATATTATTAATATATTGTAATCAAATATTATCATCTTATTTATAACTCGTGAGAACCACGGTTACAAAATTAATTAAATTTTATAGTAAAAAAACTCAAAATTATTAATCAATTATTTTAAATACACTGTTAATTAAGAGATTTTTTAATTATATAAAATTATAATCGTTGATTTAATTAAATACGTAACCTTATAATCTGTATTAATTTTATTTTAATTTTTATTCTAATGTTATTAATTTAATATAATTAGAGTGGAAAATTTAAAATTTGAAATTTGAAATGAAGAATAAATAGGTTAACAAACGGCATAACATTAATTAGGATGTCTAATAGGGTGACACATGACAAAAAGAGAATAAATTTATTTTTTTACTAGTTTATAACCCGTGAGAACCACGGTTATAAAATTTATTAAACTTTCATATTAAAAAATCAAAAGTATTAACCAATTATTTTAAATAATTAATTACTTAAGAGATATTTTTTAGTTATATAAATTTGTAATCGTTGATTTAAATAAATACGTGAAGTTATATTAACTTATAATCTGTATTAATTTTATTTTATTTTTTAATCTAATGTTATTAATTTAATATGATTAGAATGAAATATTTTAAATTTTGAAATTTAAAATGGAGAATTAATTATTAATTTAATATAATTAGAGTTGGAAATTTGAAATTTGAAATTGATAATTAATATGTTGACAAGTGGCATTATATGTGACATATAATACTAATGAGGAGTTTTAATAGAATGACACTTGTCAATAGGAGAATAAACCTATTCATTTATTAGAATATGGATTAGAATAGGGATATATATATATATATATATATATATATATATATATTATAAAGCTAGCATTTTTCCTTGAACCTCATGCATTTGAAACTCCCAATACTATTTTTTCTTGAACCTCATGCATTTGAAACTCCCAAGACTATTCAACATATGCAAATTAATTTATGATTAATTGAAATATTATGATTTGTAACTTTTAAAACTCTTCAAATCATGCTATTTAATTGATGAGTTAAATGAAATATTTAGCCTATATAAGAAATTTTTAGATTACATATTGCATGTATGTCAACACAAAATAATAGATTACATTTGTAGGGTTTGAAGAGTTAGGTGAGTGGTTCTATGGATGTAAGAAAGCAATTGCAACTTTTTCAAATATAAATTCATGTAAACTCAAATGGGGTGCATGCAAAGTTTTAGATATTAACCAAGGTTCAAATTTAGGTATGTTTGTAAATGTATACTTGAGATCATTTTTTAAGTTTATGTGTTATGCATCTTTCTATAATCACAAGATGATGAAGTGAGATTGATAATTACCTCTCATGAGCTTTTGGTAAATCAACCATCAAACTATTTATCAGTTAGAGCAATTAACTTTGTTAACATTTATGTATCTTTATGTTCTCTCTCTCTTTTTTATGTTAAAAATATATATTTCATGTACAAGAGAACATTATTCAACATGTATTTTATATTATGTATATACTATGTTACTTTCTATCGCTTATTTTGTTATAAATAACATCGATGAAGTTTTTTATAATTGATTTGGATGAAAGGAGTTTATAATTATTATTCCAAATTGTTGGTGATAATGACGAATTAGAACAAATGATTTTTAATATGATATGAATTTATTTTTGAAACCCAATAATTATGTGTGTTATAAAAATGAATTCTTTACGTTCTACAAAAACTTATATGGACACACCCAATTTTAAATGTTTTATAGTAATAAAAATAAATTATCTTATTACATTTATTAATTTCCTTTTTCCTTATTCGTTCTTTACCGTAAATGAAAAGTAAAATAAATAAAATATTAATATTTTCATAAGAAAACATAAGTGATAAAAATATATCTAAAGTGTAACACTCCTTCTCCACTAAATCACTCTTAACATATTTTTTTTAAGATTGGTTGCAGTACATATCAATTACTATAGTTTTGAAATTCAAATCACCATTTTATCTGGACCGTTCATTCTCTTCTAATATTTCATAACTTTAAAAAAAAAAAATGAAAGTACAATAAAAAAGTATGATAGTCTTTTAAAAATAAAATAATGAAAAATTTCAAATAAGTAATTTTTAATTAGTAAAAAGTAATAATTGTTTTAAATAACATAAAACTAAAGAATATATTATATTATATTAAAAAATTATTGTTATTTGAAATAATAATAATAATAATGTAGGAAATAAAAATATTCAAATAAATTATTTATAAAGTAGTTAAAAATACCTATAGTTTAAAATATTTTTAAATCAAAAACTTAATTCAATTTGATTAAAACACAAGTTTTTTATATTTTTCTTATCGTATACTTAAAATTATTATAATATTAGTTACAAGTTAGTATAAAAATTATTATTTCAGTAATAAATACTTATAATATTGTTTTTATAACATATAATTGTTAATATTTATATTATATTTGGCACAAATCAAGAGTTTAAAACTCCCACTACAACTTAATAGTTTTTTTTATTTAAATTTAATGTAATTTGCCTTTATATTTTCTACTACATTCAAAAGTTTTTTAAACTTATGGTTATTAATGTTCAATTTTTTTTTTATTTTCCACTTATTTATTATATACATTGTAGCTATATTAGTAGTATATATAAGTAAGTCTGATTAAAAAATCATATGTTTGAAAAGATTTGTGATTCAAAATGAAAGAGTCGAAAAAAAAAATTTGTCGCATAATGGTTATTTCAACTCAAATTTTTTTATAGCAATGTTTCTTACATCGAATGTATGTTGATTTCTAAATATTCATTTTGAATGATTTATAAGTGTTTAATAAGTTTTGTTTGATGTAAATGTTATAATGTTGTAGTGTTTTTATTTTATTAAAATCTATAGTGTTTTCATATTATTTGTTATTTATTTTATATACTAATTGGCATACATTTTATATATAATTTCCACAACTTAAAACGTTCTATAAAAATCATCAAAAGTTGTAGTATTTATTTTTTCATACTACCTTGTTTTTTATACATAGAAATCAATATATATGTTTGATATATAATTTATACAACATAAAACGGTGTATAAAATCATGAATTAATAGTGGAAATAACTAATTATATAAATTTATTAAAATTAATAAAACTAATATGTTAACGATAGAGTTTGTTTTGCTATTGACATTGGTTCTACATGTATAAATATCAAATCACAAATTGTTAAATGTTATTATTTTAATAAAATAATTATATCCACGCGCAACGCGCGAGGTTTCGACTAGTTGTATAATATAAAAGAGAAAAAAAATAGGTTGTTTGGTAATGTGAATACGTTCAACCTCACACAATTATCGTCATTATCATGCATTTTCATTAATTTTTATTCAATTTTGTTTTCACGCATCATTTTTTACTCATTTTCATTTTTACGGAATACGATTATCAAGAACACATTTTGACAACATTCTGACAGAATAAGAATCATAAAAAAAATCTATAATACCCTCATAGACGATTTAATTATTGAGAATGCATGATAATGACAGTCGTTTGTGAGGTTGAACGTATGCATTAACAAACAACATATTTTTTTAGTCATTCTCACACAATAGCACTAGAATAGCATTGTCTATACGTCCGCACAATAGACATCCAACCACATTTAAACCTAACTTTATTTATATATATATATATATATATATATATATATATATATATATATATATAAATTAAATTGTTTCTTACTTTTGTTTTTGCAACCGGCCGATAATATATAACAAAAAGCTTCTGCTAGCAAGAGATTAGACCGGAGGTAAAGAAAGTACATGGAGAAATACATAGGAATAGTTACAAACAAAGGAATGTATATATATGTACCGATCCAACCACCTAATTTTAACCAATTTACGTATGTGTTTAAACCATAAAAATATCATTGATTCAACAAGATTCATAGTCACGGATGGAGGGATTTTTCTCCTATTGAACACACGATCATTACACGCCTTCTAAATTCCCCACATCATACCATAAAAGATCCCAATTAGAGTGTTCATTTTCTTTTAAGACAGTTTCCCCACTGAGACGCGAAGTCTATAACCTCTCGAGTCGAATTAGGACTGTGTAATGGTTGAACACCACACCATCTAAAAAACAACTCCCAAACAGTTTCGCAAAATTGCAATAACACAACACATGATCTGTTGTATCCTCATTTGTGTTGCACAAAATACAACTATTCGTTTTAGTATTCACGCCTATTTTCCTTAGCCCCGTTGCAGATGAGATTTTATTCATTATAGCCCGCTATACAAAACTTAACACCTTGCTTGGCACTTCTTTAATTCATGAAATCATAATACTTGGAGAGTTGGTCTATATCTTCCTTATTCTTCTTCTTAGGATCTCCACACTATATCTCTCATCTGAAGCTAAACTACAAGTTCATCCATCATTTTGTTGATTGAGACTCTTCGATCCAATAACTTGAGATATTAGGAGTAGCTGCTGATCAGAAGGTTGTGCATCCCATGACCAACAAAATCTTGCATATAAAATGAATCCTCCTATTTCCTCCTAATACCAATGCAATGATCAACATAGCACATGTGTAAAACACTAATTCTATTTCCTCATTAATATTTAGTAGAAAGATATTTAACCTCTCATATATATAATATTCAACAGTTGATACAAAATGTAAATCAACTCGCACAAACAGAAATAATCAAATAATATTTAAATATCTTTTTAGTTTATTTATGCAACCACTATTTTATTCATAAATTTTATAAGTTATTCAAGATACTTAACTATTATTA